TTGCTTAGATCTCTGAGGTCCACATGAAAATGCCTTGAAACTCACCAGAGAATGGAAGCAAGAGACATGAGAAACTCTGTTAGAGAGGCAGCACTCACTGGGAAGGAGTGGGACTCGGCCATTTCTGAATGTTTTCTAAGCAGCAAAATGGTGACACCACCACTTGTTCTACCCAGCCTTCTGTGATCTGCTGTGATGAACAAATGCAACAAGTCTATGCAAAGCTGCATTGTCCATGAGAAATGGTGCTGTAGATATGCTCCCCAGTGATGCATGTTAGGAATTCCACTTCTCTGCCTACATACACAGTAGGACCTCTTAAGGTGACCCTCGTTGGTCCTTTAGATGTTCTGTCATTGGGAACTAAGCATTATTTAATGGTGAAAATGCTTTCTAAAACACAGATTAGCCTCACTGATGACCAGACACTGAATTTTTTTTTGGTTTTTGTTTTTTTTTTTTTACTTACTAGTTTACTGATTTATTACAAAGGAAACTAAAGGATACAAGTCAACAGCCATGTGAAGGGACACATAGGGTGGGGACCCAAAACAAAGGAGCTCCTGTCCTTGTGGAGCTTGGGGCTTGGTGACACATGGAAGCGTTCTGCTTCCCCAGCCTAGAAACTCTGACCAGACACTGAATTTATGTCCCATAAAGGCTCCTCCAACCTGACTTTCCTCTTAGATTTCCCGTCTCCATTAATGGCTAGAAACAACAGAATTCTCCTTACCCTTACCTCTCTTTCTGCATATCCCTCATCTGGAAGTCCTTGTCAACTAATCCTCAGGAAAGTTCTCAGATTTTAATTTTTCTTCTTTCTTGATGCCATGCCCAGGGTTCAGGGTCTTCCCACCCCTTACCATGACTAGTGCATCAGCCTCCTAACTCCACTCCTGACGGATACTTTCTGGACATCTTTCCCACCAGATTAAAGAGTGTTCTCTGAAGATGAAGAGCAAGTTTAACAGACTTTTAAATTTCTCAAAGGGCATTTCTCCTAATAGGTGCTCAATAAATGATTTGTGCTCACTGATGTGCTTGCTTGCCCGAAGGGTAATATTTGGGGTGGAAAAAGCACTGGGCCTGAGGAACTGAAGATATGGTCGTGGCCCATTGTGTCAGTTTCCCATGGCTCTATACCAAATCATCCCCAAACTTATTAACTTAAAACAACAATTACTTTATTTTTTTCTCACATTTTCTGTGGATCAGGAATTTGAACAGGACATAGTGAAGATATGTATCTTTCCTTTAGGATATCTGGGGCCTCAGGTGGGAATATCTGAAAGCTGGGGGTAGTGCAACAGGGCTGGGGACTGGAATCACCTGGAGGCATCTTCATGCACATGGGTGGTGGGTGAGGCCGGCTGCCAGCTGAGGCTGAGGCTGTGGCTGGCTGCCAGCCAGAACACCTACATGTGGCCTCTCTGCTTGGGTTATTTGGGTGTCCTCACAGCATGGCGATGGTACTGGGTTGTAAAAGCAAGTGATTCAAGACAACCAGTTGGAAGCAGTATCACTTCCATGGCCGAATCTTGGAAGGTATATAGCTCAATTCTGCTATAGTCATGGGCTTACCCAATGTGGTAGGCAGAATAACAACCCCCTAAAGAGGTCCATGTCCTAATCCCCAAACTTATGACTATGTTACCTTACCTGGCAAAAGGGACTTTGTGATGTGATTCAGTTAAGGACCTCGAGATGGGGAGATGATCCTGGATTCTCTGGGTGAGCCCAGTGTAATCCCAAGTGTCCTTATAACAGGGAGGCAGGAGGGTCAGAGTCAGAGAAGGAAATATGAGGTGAAAGCTTAGGATAGAGGGATGCTGGCCAGGCATCAGGGAATGCCGGCAGCCTCTAGAAGCTGGAAAAGGCAAGGCAACAGATTTTCTCTAGAGTCTCCAGAAAGAACACAGCCCTACTATTGACCTTGATTTTAGCCTAGTAAGATCCATGTTGGAATTCTGATCTCCATAAATGTAAGATAATAGATTTGTGCTGTTGTAAGCCATTAAGTTTGTGGTAATTTGTTGTAGCAGCAATAGAAAATTACCATCTTTCCACAGGAAGAGTGTCGAAGTCATATTCAAGAGCATGTGAGATGGAAGACATTGTAGCTAGCTTTGAAAAATACAGTCTGCCATGCTCTACCACTAAGTAGGTAATTGTGGGTTATCTCTCTGGGTCTCAGTCTCTGAATTTATAAAATGAAAGGTTGAGCATAAGGATAGCAAACCATCTGGACCTAAGAGTTCCCTGGTCTTACAACTGAAAGGGAGATGTAGTATTCCCATGAGAAATCATAATAAATCATGACCAATATCCAGAGTCCTTCCTCAGTGCTCACCCCACATCTATATACTACTCCAAATGGAACAGGAATGGAGTGCTTGGACCAGAAACCCTCAGCATGTGTGGCAGATTTCCTAAAAGATAAGCTTTGAGGAAGGATTTTTGTTTTTGTTTTAAATTTCAAAATATTTAAAGAAGGAAGGAAGGAGGGAGGGAAAGAAGAGGGAAGGAAAGAAGAAAGGAAAGAAGGAAAAAACTATTAACTTTTTGAGGCAGTGACCATTTCTTGTTCATTATTGGAACCCCAGCACCTGATATATAGTCTAGAAGGTAGGTAATCTCCAAAGAATGTTGAGTGAGAACAAAAAGAAAAGAGAACCCAAGGTTCACTGGTTTTGTGCCTGATAACTCTATGGGGGAGGGAGGCCAATCCTTGGCGGGTCACCAGGTACAGACCCTTTCACCACTTTACTCAGGAAATTATTTCAGTAGTCTTCCAGTTGGCCCCCTTTATTCTATCCTTGCCCTAAACACAGCAGCCAGAGTGATCCTGATAAAATATAATGTTGATCATGCCACTCCTCTGCTGAAAACCCTCTAGAGGCTTCCTGTTTCACTTGTAAATTAAAGCCAAAGCCCTTTCCAGGGCCAGAACTAGGTGAGGGGAGGGAGGCACCTAGGACACAGCATTTAAGGAGGTGCTTACTCTTGGGGGCCCACCCAGCACTTGCACCACTGTGAGAGGGAGCGCCTCCTTAAATAGGGAGCCCTGGGTGCCTCCTTTGCCTCAACCTAGTCCTGACATTGGCTGTTATGGTGGGGTACAAGACCATACACCATCTAACCTCTCACCGCCTCTACCTCTCTGATCTCATCTCCTAATATCCAGCCCCTCCCCTCCTTGGCTCACTCCACTCAAGCACACATGCCTCTTTGCTAATTTCCTGAACACACCAGGCCCACTTCCACTCAGAGTTTATGCTGCTGTCCTTTTGATGAAGCAGTTTCCCCCAGTATCCAAGTGGCTGGGTCCCTCATCTCTTTCAGGTCTCTACTCAAATATTACCTTTTCTGTGAAGCATTCCATGACTGCTCTATTAAAATTCAACTCCATTGCTATCTCTCTTTCCCACTCTATTTTTATTCTTAGGACCTAGTTCCATCTAACATTCTATGAATTGTTCATATTTACTTTGTTGGTGGTCTGCCTTTCCTACTAGACTGTAAGTTCCAGGAAGACAAGGATTTTAATCCATTTTTCACTGCTGTGTCCCAGAATCTAGAACAGTGCCTAGCATATGTAGATGCTCAATAAAAAAAAAAAAAATTGTGAAATGAATGGATATTGAGACAATTTGTGATATAAAGCCATGGAGAATAGAGAATTATGGAATTTTAGAATAAACAGAGGTCTTACTAAAGGGATCAGCAGACTATAGCTTGCAACCTATGTTTGTATGGTCTATGAGCTAAGAATGAGCTTATGAATTGAATTGTGTCCCTCTAAAATTCATATGTTGAAACCTAAACCCCATCATCTCAGAATGTGACCTTAATTTGGAAAGGGGGTCATCACTGCAGATGTAATTAGTTCAGAGGAGGTCATACTGGAGTAGGATGGGACCCTAGTTCAATATGACTGGTGTCCTTACAAAGAGGAAAAATTTGGACACAGACACACAGGGAGAATACCATGTGAACGTAAAGGTAGAAGTTGGGTGAAGTTTCTGCAAGCCAAGGATCGCCAGAGATTGTCAGGGAACAGATTGTTCTGCACAGCCCCCAGAAGGAACCGACCCTGCTGACACCATGATCTCCACCTCTAGCCTCCAGAACTACAGGATGGTAAGTTTCTGTTTAAGCCACACAGCCCTAACAAAGGAATATGAATGGTTTGTATATCTGTAAACAATTGTAGGAGGAGGAGAAAGAGGAAGAGAAGAAAGGGAAAGCAAGGGAGGAGGAGGAGGGAATGGGGGCAAGATAGGGGGAGGTGGAGAAGGAATAATGACAGAGGCAGTGTGTGGCCCCCAGAGCCTAAATAATTAGCTGTTTGGTCCTTTACAGAAAACGCTGTTGACACTGAAAGTTTAGAGACCATCTAGTCCATATAACTTATGAAGAAATGGCGGTTTCCAGAAATAAAACCACATATCCACATTCATACATATAGTATGCACTGGTGTAGCTATCCCTAAAACCAGGCTATCCGACTTCAAGGCTATGTTTTAAAAAGCACTCTACACTGACTACTGCATTTTAAAAATCATTTTGTCAATTCCCCCTTGTTTAAGTACCAAAATGTCACTAAGAAGATGTTTTCATCCATTATTCCCCCTCCCAGCACCCTGAGGCCTTGACAGAAACGTACCATAATTCATAATTTTTTTTTGAGCAAAGTGCCTACTATTATCCATATTTTTTTGTTTTGGCTTTTGGGCCTCGCCCTCCAGCAACTCATTTTCTGTGATACTGGTTCTCAAACTATAATTAAAACATAATTAAAGATCAAGAACAGATGTCTGCCTGCTCTCTGGAGCTTCCACAGACTTATGTAGTATAGAGTTTGGTATCATGGATTTTATGCTAAACAGAAATAAAATAGGAGACCTATCTGTTGAACAAACCCACATCCAAACGCTAAAGGCAGAAGAGCGTATTTAAAATAAAGTGGACCAGAGCTTGTAGCAGTTCTTTTAACACACCTGTAACTCAGGGAGCAGCAAAACAAATCTGTCCTGTTTGCATCAGCTCCGTGACTTGATGGTGTAGACACAAAAAGATCTGTGTTCTTGCTAACTCATCTTGGGTGAGACATTGAACCATTTGGAGGAGGGTCTCACTTTTGCCATTTGTCAGCTGTTGAAGATGGCAGTGCTTCCTCCAGAGGCTTACGGGAGCGGGTTGCGGGCTTCGGGGGCAAAGGTCTTCTTTCCCTTCTAAGGCTGCCTTATTTAGTTGAAGCGTAGGTGCCACTAATAAGGAACTAAGTGTATAAATTTCTGTTAATCTGCTGGTGAGCCTGAAATGTGGAGGAAATGAAAAAGGAAGTGAATGGGTTAAAGACAGTTTTCCAGCAAAGAGTTTATGAGAACACTGACCATCCCAAATGTGGCTGCTCTAATTCAAACTCTTATACTTTTGCACAGAATATACAAGTACCATAGGAATTAAATTTACTTAAATCTGAACAAAATTTGCTTTTTTTTTTTTTTTTCTAGTATCCCTTCTCTAAAGCAGGGATCTCATCTGAAGTTGAACTCTGGTGTTAGCTGGTGGCCTTGGGCAATTGACTTAACCTCTCTTTGTCTCTCTTTCTTCAAATGTTAAAAAGGGGGCAGGAGGGAGGGCAGAGGGGATAACTATAGTATATAAGCCATAAATCGGTTCAAGGATTAAATGAGATAATGAAACATGAAGGTACCTAACAATGGGTACGAATCCAAAATATGTTAATTTTCCATGTAAATATATGGTTGAAGAAAATATGCAAATATTCACCTAATTATAATTATTTACATAATTGTTCATCCTGTGGATGAATGTGGAAACCCATTAGCCTTTATTTTCATAAATAAACGCCACTAGGCATATGTTTTGTGATCTGTGAATTAGCTTTACATATACTCCAGCATTTGATCTACAAACTAAGAATCTCAGGAGTCTTAGGTGGCTAAGTGGTGAGGACAGCTAACATGGGGCAGAGCAGGGACCTGAGTTCCAGGTCACTTTTCTGCACTTCTGCCAGGGTCCTTCCCTCTGTAAGGTGCTGGCTCTAAACAGAGAGACATTTCTGTTGTCTCAGTGGAGAGTTAACATTTTGCTCTGGGGGCGCCTGGGTGGCTCAGACTCTTGGTTTTGGCTCAGGTCAGGATCTCAGGGTCCTGGGATGGAGAACAACTCCTGGACATAATCTCCCTCTCCCTCTGCTCCTCCCCCTGCTCCTGTGGGGGGCTCAAGTGCTCTCTCCCTCCTCCCTCTCTTTCTTTCTCTCAAATAAAGTCTCAAAACAAAACAAAACAAAACATTTTGCCCTGGAGTGTGAAAGCTGTGTACCACTGAGTCAAGGTTTCTGTGTGTACAGCTTGGAGACACTCCCTTGATAAGAAAGGGATTTGCATGCAGCATATTCTACAGGTTTTTAACCATTCCTGGGTCCAAATCCCTTTGAAAATTTGATAAAGTTATACCCCCTCCACACATTTTTACATCTATTTCCCTAATTGTATGCATAAATTTTGCGGTTTTCACAGATCCCCTAAAATCCATCTAGAGATCCTTAATGATGCCACTTAGCAGGTTTAAGAATATCTAATTTAAAAAGATTAGCATTAATAAATAAAATCTTTAAAAAAATAAAAAGATTAGCATTTTATTTAAATACAAGAAGGAAAGCTAGCACTCACTTTTATATTCCCCTTAAGACCTTTTGTGTTTCAGTCCTCCAGTTTCTATTTGTTTTGTTTTGTTTTTTAGTTCTGTCTGAAGCTGGGGACAGAAAACCATACTGTCAACCTTCTCAGGTTCCAGCTAAAGAACTAATCAGATGCAAGAGTGGCACAGCACATTTTGGTACAAACTGAAGACATATCAACCCGTTACCTGCAGTTGACATCCTAACACATGTAGGAAGTGATGGAGGAACAAAAAGATTTTCAGAATGAAAATCAATTCTGAGGCAAAGGCTTCAAAATCCAGCCTGTCATTCCCGTGTACTGAATAGAGGAGTCTCCTTGTCATGTTTCATTTTCACCTCTCTTGAGGGAAGGCTAAGACCCCCCCCCCCCCAGATGGTTTGGCAATGATCCGCTGCCCCACCAGGGACCATGTGAAGCCTCTGCCAGCAACCTCACACTTCTTGCTGGCCTCTCCGAGCCAGGTCCCCGTTCTTCCTTTCTAGCCTTATTAGTCTCACTCTCTGCTGTGACATCAACTGGCAGGTATCACTGCTGGGCTTGGCAAGTAGACGCGGCAGATCCCAGGAGCCCAGGCACCTGAGGAAGCTCACTCTTTTCCTTACCTGATGGGAAAAACCAGACTCTGCGGCCTGGACAACCTATCAAAAGATGGAACCGGTAGGGGAGGGGGTGGCTAGCTAAGGAGGCAAGCTTAACAAATACTAGCCAAAGTCAATTTTCTGCGAGTAGAAGCAGGACTCCAGTACCCTGTGCCCCAACATATCCGGGGGCGGGCGAGGGGGTGGGGGGGTGGTGATGCAGGAAGCAGGAGCAAATTGTCGCAGGAACCACGTTAGAACTCTTCCTCCTTCCCTCCCTCCCTCCCTGTCTTCCTATTTCCTCCCCCACTTCTCTCCAGAAACAGTCCGGAGTTTCCAAGTCGAGGAGGACGCAGAAAGAAGTGGGAACTCTGGACGTCTGAGGAGCCACTCTCGCGGTCGCACGGCAAATCTGTGCGGGTGGCTCGCCTGGGTGGCCGGGGCGCTCGCTGTGTATTCAAGCGGGGGGTCGGATTAGCCATCTGGGGCACAAATCCTGCAAAAGGAGTCTGAGAGCCGGGCGAGCTCTCACAGGCAGGCAGGTGCAGCCGCGGAGCTCGGAGGGCCAGAGTCCGCGGCGGCGCGACCGCGGGAGCCGCGCGGGGTGGCGTCCACGGCCTGCGCTGACACGTGGGGCCGCTCACTAGGGCGGCGCCGCCGGGACGCGAGGGAAAGTGTCCGAGGAGCGGGCGCCGCAGCCTCCCGAGCCCCCGCCGCCTCCCCGGGCCCTCGGACATCGCGGGACGCGAGCGGACGTTTCTCGGCGGGACCTCGGGGAAGCCCACGGCCGCGTGTGACCCGAGAGGACGCGGTGGGACCGGCGAGGCTCGTGTCCCCGGCCTGCTACGCACCTGCAGTCGCGAAGGGACAGCGTGCCTTAGGATTTCCGCGGGGCCGCACCTCCTCCTGCGTCCGCCTGCGGAGGTGAGCGCTGGGTGCATCTCGGCTCTCCGCAAACGCAGGCCGGCTCCCTTCCCGCAGCCTCCCACCTCACATCGCGTGATCTCGGAGCTGGCCCTGGGGACGCAAGGTCACATGGCCCTGCGTCCGAGCGGGGACGCCACGAGGCATCGAGAGAGGCGTTCCTTCGGAGCCCCGCTTTCTCTCTTGCTATCCTGTCTCCAGCCCGTCCGCAGCCTAGTCCCCAAGCCCAGGGTTCCCAGAATGAAGATGGAGCCCATTTCTTTCTCTAAAGCTGTGACCTTTTCTCTGGGCTTAGGGCATTTCTGTCCTCAGAAATACATATCCGGTGTCCCCGCCTTTCCCCCCTAGAGACTGACAATTGGGAATGCCCTCTCGAAGTCTCTCAGCCAGAGAAGCCAAGGAGGGCAAGAACTGAGTCCAAAATGCAGATGCCTCCAGGAGCTTCTTTTCTAGAACAGCGGTTCGGGCCCTCCCTGGGCTTGAGAAGAGCACAGGGGTGGAGCATCAGTCATCTTGCCCTCTTACCTTGGGCTGCCCTGTGCCCCCAAAGGCCCCGCCTTGGTTGCTGCAACCGCTCTTCTCTGGGAGGCCCCAGAGCCGATTCCCTGGAGTCCTAGGTCGGTTTCCTCGGTGCTGTGGCCACCATGGAACTACCGACTGTGCTTCCCTTCGCTTTGCCCTGGGCAACCCCCTGGTCACCTGAGGTGACTTGAAACACTGTCTCTTTCCTGTGGGCTTCAGATGATGGTCAAAGAAAATAACCGTAAGGAAGCATTTCAAAAGCATATTTTTACTGAACTTCTATGGAAATATAACACGCATAGAAAAGTGCACAAATCTCATGTATACAACTTGATGAATTTTCACAAAGTGAACATCAACAAGCATTTTTGAATGTTTATTCCATCTATACATAATCCCTGAGGGGATTACAAATAACACATTTATTCTTGAGGAGGACATTGGTGAAAAGGATTCCCCTCCCTGCCCAGTACCATAAAAATATTTAGAATACTTGTAAACACACCCAAGTTTTATTTGTACAACAAAAATTTCTTGGATCACATGTCCCTTTGGACAAAACTCTCCTTGCAAAAGGCTAAAAAGCTGTTAGCTCGAATCGAGCTGTTAGGTGGTTAGATGGTATTGCCCAACTGACATCTGGTTGGGAAACCATAACAACTCATTTGGTACAGCCTGATGTTCCTGCCTCCAAAACTCATCCCATAGTGACACTGCATTTTTATCCAGGTCACCCTGTTAATGCACCACAGGGAGAAATATATGCTGAGATCGAAGATAACCCAAAGTTTTAACCTTCTTGATACATTTCATAATAGTTTAATTCCAAGCAGCATCCCTGCCATAGAAGCAAGTGGGTACAGTTGACTACTTTTTAGCAGGGGAAGCTTAAAACAGGGAGAAGCCAAATATCCTTCATTGAATACCAATGCCATCCTCTTTGGAAAAGGAGGAATTTCAATATCCATGCCCTGGCTGCCATCCACATGTTAAACATGTTAAGACATAAAAGCAGTCTTTTCATCTGTCTGATCTCTCTGGGATCTTGATTAGAATTCTCTGTCCATTTTTTGATGGTCTGTTTTGAAGCATTTTTTTTTTTAAAGAACTGTATTCCAGAAAGTAGCAAGCCAGTGATCTATATTATAAAGAAAAATTCTTGAAAGTCAGAGATATTAGAGACTGGAAAAATCAGAGATGGAAAATGTTTCAGATATGTCATCCAGTCTAGTATTTCTTTGCTCTCAGTAGTTAATGTCTGTCTACTTTGATAGTTATTTGTCATCTTGGCAGAGATTTGTTCATGGGTCAGATTTATATAGACAAATCTTAATGAATGTTAACTCCGTGCGCACTGGTTCACATAAACAGCCTTTATCCAATCAATACCTAAGACGTGTGCAGCCCCAATGGTGATAAAATAAATGTGACCTGTAACCCCTTCCTTTAAAAAGTTTATCACTGAATAAATAAATAAATAAATAAAACTCAGTGCCAGGGTGACTTTTCACCTACTTTGCTCATGTAATCATTACCTTTGCGAAGAAAAATAATAGCTAATATCTGCTGAACATTTTATGCCTGCCATTTTATTATACTAACTCACTTAATGCTAATAAGAACATTATGAAATAGAAATTGTTATTCCCAGATTATAAATGAGCAAACCAAGACTCTGGAGGTTAAGCCATTTGACCATGATTTTAGCTAGTGGATATTATTTCTCCATCTTGGGGCCTGAGAAAGACCTGTGAAGAACTTGGGCAGTCCTCACATTTTACCCTGAGGAAACTGAGACCCAGCAGAGGTAAGCAGCTTCTTTCTCAAGATCACAACTTTTACCTGGGGAAGTTCACAGAAAGTCTTGCTTTAAGGTGGGCTATGTAATAAGAATTCCAAGGAGGTAAGCTTCTGGGTCTTGATTTTGTTCTGTCTTCTGAACACTGGGAAGATACCCTAACGTTCTCTGTCACCGCGTGCTGTAAGGAATAGAGCCGCAGCTGCTGCCTTGGCCTTGGGAAAGCCCTCAGGACAAGCCTTGTCTAGTCAGAAGCTGGGGCCACAGGGGTCCATCCCTCTGCAAGCCCTAGCTTTTGGCATTTGGAGGCGGAGGCAAACTGACCTGGGCTGAATTTTGGGTCCCTGACCGACTAGCTCTGTGACCTTGAGAAACTTATATGACTCCTCTAAATTTGATTCTCAGCTGTAGAACAAGGATTTTATGAGGGTTGTTGTGAGGACGAGACAGCAAATATGTAACAAATGCTAAGTATAAATTAGAGCAAAACGAATGGTCCTGGCCAGTTTCAGAGATCCCTTTTAATTCCATTTCCAATTTATCTGTCTTACTGTTTCTCAAAAGTCAGCAATGATGCTGGGGATTTGCTCAAAATATATCTCCAGAGCTTCAACAGACACTTAATTGGCAAAGAAGTTTTGATGACTTGATGTGGTTCTTAATCAAGGACCTAGAAGTAAGGACTACTACACCTATAGGATTAGAAATCTTTTCATTTGCAAAGACCTATTTGTTGTGTTCTGGGCATAGTAATACTATAATTACCATATTTAACAGCTTATAAAGCACACACCAAGCAAATTCCTTGCCTGTTTAATAATGTCTAGGTATCAGCCTTTTAGTGGTATCTATCAGCCTTGAAAATATAAGTGAAATAACTTTTGAAACAGTAGTTCTCAAGCTTTAATGTGCTCAGAATCATCAGGAAACCTTGTGAAATATGTAGATCTCAGACAGGCAGAGCTGGGAAATCTGCATTTCTCGGTATCCAGCCTTGTTCTGAAGCTTATGCTCCTCGGAACATACCTTAAGAAAGTCTGTCCTAACAGCTTTCTGTCCAGCTACTCTTTCTTGATGCTTCCCAGGAAAAACCCAAACAAGTGCCCTTCATTTAGCAGTAGCAGCAGAAGAACAATAGTTAACTCTTGAATTACAATAGATGTCTCCTCCTAATCTAAATGACTGAAGGTCACAGCTTCATTTGGTCCAGCCATATTACGTTCTATAAAAACACCAAGATTCACAAGTAAGCTTGAGATAGGGACTGATTTCCCTCACCAGCTCTGATCACTAGGCTGTGACGGATTTAGTTCTCTAACCAGCAAGTAATTTCTTCTTTGGCATGAGAGATTGGAAGTATAAAGGAAAAGAGGAGTGAGTAAAGAGAGGTGGCAATAGATGGTTTGTACAATGTGGGCTAGAAATACAGCTGTCCAAAGAGAACTGAAGCTGAGTTCTTCCACCACACATCTAAAGATTCATATCGGGGTCTAAACAAGGTATGTCAGGTGGCTTAATTAGAAACTCCTGGGCTATGAGTTTCACACACTCATGGGTGGGCCAATGGCCACTTTTTTAGGCTTCAGCAAAATGAGATAATAGCAATTATCCAAAAGGATTTGGATTAAAAAAAAACAACCATCTATTATCTTATAATAAATAAATAATAATAAATTATAATAAAATAAAGCCCTGCTTTTAAACACAGCACATCACTGTTGTTTTTGAGTTTAAATATTAAGGAGCACATTTTGTTAATGACCAAAACAATACTGATTGTTTTAGGGGGCTCAGTGAACATTTAATCTACCCTTACGCTAGGCAGTGCGCTGAAGGAACACACTGCCTAATGCCCCAGGATGGACATTAGGTAACTACTTAATGGAATTTTAATTTTGTTTCATTATTATTAGTAATTGATGTAATTCTGGGGGTGCCTGGGTGGCGCAGTCGGTTAGCTTCTGACTCTTGGTTTTGGCTCAGGTCATGATCTCAGGGTCTTGAGATCAAACCCAGCATCGGGCTCTGTGCTCAGTGCAGATGGAGTCTGCTTGAGACTCTCTCTCCCTCTCGCTCTGCCCCTGTATGCTTGCACACTCTCTCAAATAAATAAAATAAAATCTTTTTAAAAAACTGATGTAATTCTGATTATGTTGGAAGCTGGAGGTATCCTGCCAGTCATCCTTTTAGGGTGGTGGTATTGCCCTGCCCTGTTTAATCAGAGGCTTCTAGAAGAGGTGGGCTCAGGTGTGATTTAAAATGGAAGAAGATAGGTGTTTAATGAATTTCAATTAAAAAATGAAATCATTTTCAAATTGAAAGGGGGTATGGAAACTATCTGTCCTAATCCTTTCATTCTGTTGCTGAGAAAACCGAGGCCCATAGGAATTAAAGGACATGCTCAAAGCCATACAGCTTGTTTCTGTTGTTTGAGGCATTATTAGGCTAAAAGACCTCATAGGCCTAACTTGAAAAAGATGGCAGGATGCCTTGGCCCTGCTCTCACAGTTGTCCCCCCAGATTTCATCTAATTCCAACCCTTGTTCCACATAGGAAGTAGTTCCTGTTTTCTACATATTGAAGGTGTGTAAACGTAAAAGTCTTTACAGGTGAGGTACCTAGGACCAATACCTGTTTAAGTAAAGACCTAGGTGTTTTGCTGGGACAGTGAAGTGTAGCAGCCATCCCAGGGTAAGAAAACCAGGACAGAAAAGGCTCCATCCTCCAGCATTCCCCCATCTACCTGGAGCTCAGGCCTGAGACCCTCAGACCCGCCCTGCAGTATTAGTTCAGAACTCCAGAGCAGAGCCTGTGATTTACTTTAGGGCTCTGGGCAAGTTCCTTTAACCTGGCTGTTCTTCCCCTCTGTGTGTTTGTAAACCAGAGAGATGATGCTGATATCTCCCCCACACTGCTCTGTCAGAGACACCGTGTGAAATTAGCTCCTGTTTGGGAAGGTTTTAAACACACAT